ATTTCCATGGTTTCTGACAGAAGTCATGATACCACGTAGACAACCGCTTTGATGTCTATTTGGCAGAGCGATAGCGATCAGGCATAATGTTGTCGTTTTCGTTGAAGTTAAACCACTTCAACGAGGATGAAAGCGCTAGAGTAATTTGTGGAGGTCAGGGGATCGCAGGCCGAGGCCTTGCGATCCCGGGATGACCACCTCGGCGGTGGTCAAAAGGGTCAGAAGGACCCTATAAAAGGGGGCCGCTCTCCAGATGTACAGTTCGACTCGGATCGACTCATCGCCGCCAGGACCCTCCCGCTGAGGGTCGCAATCGAGGATTCAACCGGATTCGCCTTCTCGCCTACACAACTCTCATCGACTACTATTTTCTACTTCGTCATTCATTTCATCGTTCCTGTTGCTATTTTTCTAATAAATTATTCTGTTACTGGTATTTACCGCAGAAGCATCTGTGATATTATCGGGGCTCTACACTACAAATTCATAGGACACGAAGCTCTTGAATCTCAACACGATATGCAGTTGCTGGAAACAGAACTACATCATTTTCCCTTTGTACATTGATTGATACTGTTTCATCTAGGGATGGGTTTCGTACAAGCGCGGACAATTGCTATGCCTGTCCTTGACTTGGAGATGCAGATCTTTTCCAAAATCCCCGCAGGTGGGGTTCTATGTGTGAAATACTAAAATAAAACATTGAGTATAGCCGCGCGTGCAAATATCAAAGAGAGTCTGCAATTTGAAGCCAACTGTCATCTTAAAAACAGTTGATCACAAAACTACTCCGCATGCGGACGTGATCATAAAAACAAACAGCGACGAATGAATGAACGAAGATCTGATGATAGAGTGGAACACAGATGTCTGGAAAACGAGAAGAAGACAATACTCTAAATGGAGCAAGCCCAATGGAGCACTTTGACAGCAGTTTCAGTTCCAATCATTTTGAAGAAAATGATGGCATAGGAGTTAGATTGAGATGATTTCGCATAGAATTGTTCTCTGACAGAGTGAAAGTTGAGCCGCGATCATATTCTGCAACAGTGCAGAATAATACAGCAGAAGGTACGCTCGCCAAGGAAACTATGGCATTGGTTTCTTATATTAGGTTGGCGGGAAAGTTCTGTCACTTTTTTCAAATTGGGCTTTCTTTTTATAGAGAGGCGTGTAAGATCAAAATTGTACAGCAATGTTACTGCGGGGTCCTTGCCTGTTTTTGAGCACCTCATGGATGCCATCGCTTCACAATGCAGGGAGGCGCGATACAAAGTTGGACATCATCTCAATCTTGGCTTGAACTCAGACTTTTCGAGGTTTTCTCGTAATTTCTCGTCCAGTAATGATTGATTACGGGAGGCAACTCGCAGTTAGAAGGAGCAATGTCTGTGCTACACCACTGCAAGGGGAGAGCCATCCAGCTCTATTGCATGAGGAACGGCTAGAATTTTTGGAAGTGCGCTGCACTATCAGAAGCATTTGGAGGGGTCGGTGGCGATGGTAGCGGATAACATTCTTGTCCATATTGCAGAAGAAGAAGAAGCAGGAATCAAGCGAGTGGTACTAATAGAAAGACCACTCTTTGATGTATAAGTGCTCACATTACCGTTCACCCCTCTTCAGGTAATGGGCAAGTATTTTGAGTTCAAAAAAGTGTGACAGAACTTTCCCGCCAACCTAATACTTAAATACAGGTCTAAAAATAGGTATAATGTGAAGACTAGGGGAGTTGGGGAAGATGTCAGTAATCTTGATCGTTTCCCGTCTGTTTCTTTGGTGCATTCTCTCCTGTTCTCAGAGTGTACTACATATTCACTTCTTCTCCGAATCGATAGTTATACCTTTGGTGGCACTCAGTCTCGTATTCCCCTAATTCTCAGTGTCGCTAGGGTAGGATAAGAATGGTACGATCGCACCTCGTTAACGACTTCTCGCACCTGGATTCGAGGCATAATTAGCGAGGTGCGAAGCGACCTCATTAGCCGAGGCACGTCGTGCTCAACTGCAGCTGACCTCACTTCAAGGAAAAGCTATTAAGCTATCCAAATCGGAATAAATCCATTGCAAGATTTCGGTAAAGTGGGTAAAAAGATTGCCATATATTTCATATATTTATTATTATTATTACTTAAACAAGAACAAGTGTACAAATTAGTAGTACAAATTAGTACATAGTGTAAGAATGGTAGATTAGTACTAGAGTACATGATAACACAAAAGTTGCTCAAATAAACGAATTGTGTGCTTACTTCCTACCTGTTAGCTTAAAGACACATGGTACGCTCAAACACATTGAGGGTGTATGAGACTATCAGCCCCCCAGCTGTCGATGTGTCGTGGTCCCCCGCCCAAACATGCCCAGGAATGGAGATACAGGGCCGTGAAACACGCTAGTTCCTCCATGCTCCGCCTTACACCTTTTGCGGCGCAGATTCCCGTCCTTCATAACATCCGTTGCAAGCGCGCGTGTCGCGTGCGGCTCCTTGGCACTTTGCCAAGTCCTTTAATTGCGCTCTCAAATACGAGTAAAACGCAATTTCCTGATGCGGATAACATTGGAGGTGCTACAAAATAAGAACAGAAGATGATGACAAGGGCCAGAACTCAAGAGCAACTCGGCTGCATCCGCAGAATCCATCAGAGGCCGCGCATTCCCAGAAAACATGAGAATAAAAACAATCCAAGCGTCCCACTCGTTTATTCTAAGTATTTCTATGGCTTTGGCGCCGGATTCGCGCCGGATCGTAGAAATTTACAGGCGATTTCAACTAATTTGCCTTTCCTTGATTTTTTCATTTTTGTTTTATTTACATTTACATCGTTGTGCTTCATTTCTAGCCTGTGTCATCTTCATCTCCTTGTACATGGATTTTGAAGCATGAGCAACACCTAAAATTTTATTCGCATCAGGAAATTGCGTTTTGCTTGTATCAAACTAACGAGTATGCCGTTTTATTTTCATGTTTTCGTGGGAATGCGCGGCCTCTGATGGATTCTGCGGATGCAGCCGAGTTGCTCTTGAGTTCTGGCCCTTGTCATCATCTTCTGTTCTTATTTTGTAGCACCTCCAATGTTATCCGCATCAGGAAATTGCGTTTTACTCGTATTTGAGAGCGCAATTAAAGGACTTGGCAAAGTGCCAAGGAGCCGCACGCGACACGCGCGCTTGCAACGGATGTTATGAAGGACGGGAATCTGCGCCGCAAAAGGTGTAAGGCGGAGCATGGAAGAACTAGCGTGTTTCACGGCCCTGTATCTCCATTCCTGGGCATGTTTGGGCGGGGGGACCACGACACATCGACAGCTGGGGGCTGATAGTCTCATACACCCTCAATGTGTTGTGAGCGTACCATGTGTCTTTAAGTATCTACTCATGACCTCTCCTTAAGGTGTTATATTTGGCCAGAGGTCTTTCAAAGTGATAAAGAAGTCGTTATGGGGACAATATAGACGAGGCCAGAAGGTCATTACCTGTATTTAACCCGCCGAAGAGCAGGCAGTGAGATCTTAGCGATATGCAAGGAATCCCTCCGTAATTTTCAAAGATTTCCACGCGACTTCCAAGCAAACAAATGGTCTTCGTAACCCTTACGCGCATGTGTTCCGAATCATTTATGCCGAATTCTAGGTGATATTCATGAATAACAAGGAAGACATATGTATTTCCACTGACGGTCAATCAGTAATTAAGCACAATGCCATTTTGTTGAGTTTTACCATGTAGTGCCAGCATTTTTATAAGTAATTGTTCGTGAGCCTCACGTTTTTTTAATTTCCTGATAGTTTAGTTTTCACTCGATTTATTCCGATTTCGATAACTCAATGATCTCTCATTGAATGAGGTCACTTCGCACTCGAGCACGATTTCCCCCTGCTTAATGAGGTCGCTTCGCACCTCGTTAATGATGTCTCGCACCTAGGGGCGAGGCATAAGCGAGGCATAATTAACGGAGGTGTGATCGTACCATTTTTATCTAACCCGTGTCGCTATGTATGAACGCCGACGAGATAACCTCGTCATCCGGGCAGTTGATTAGGGCGGTCGTCAACGGGCCGCAGCGCGTGCCAGGAACTATTTGCTTTTCCAGGCTAATTTAGTCATTTTTTCCACCTTGTGAAGATAAGGAGCTGCTAATCTGGGAAAAAGTAGCCAAAACAGTGAAAAGTTGGAAAAAATGACTAAATTAGTCTGGAAAAAGCAAATAGTTCCTGGCACGCGCTGCGGCCCGTTGACGACCGCCCTAATCAACTGCCCGGATGACGAGGGTAAGTACGCGCAGCTATTGTGATGAGGCGCGTGCTTATCTCCGGTCGCGTTATAATTATCTGTTTGCGGACTTATTTTTGTCACTTGGAAAAGTGGTAAAAATTATACCACTGCCGTATTGATTTCGCCGTCGGTACTGAGATCAGGCCTTGGTGGTGCAGGCCCTCCCTTCTTGAGCATATACAGCAACTCTGAAAAGAAGAAATGAATTATGTGAAATGGTAAACAAAGGAAAACTGGGCTTGAACCTCTTTTCCTCACCGTCGGTTCGTTCTTCCCGCTCGTTCCACGCTGGCCTTCGCGTCACAACCTCCGAAGCAACGATAGAAAACGAGTATATATCGCCTTCTTTGGATGCTTTAGCAGACGTCTCAGGAGATCGAAGATGTTCCGGGGCCATATATAGTTGACCTCAACAGTAAAACGTTTATAGGGCAAACACGCGTAGGACATTGATACTTTTTCTTCGTGAGTATCGGTCAATCGGTCAATGTTGAGAGAGAGGTCGAGTCCAGGTGTCTGTAGATACAGCTAGTAGGGCAAATGAGAGCACCCAATCGCGCCTCTTGCCTTCTCTCCTCCACAAGGGGAGTATGCTTGAACGAGTGCTGATCCTCCTTGTTGGGCTCACGCGGAGGGAACAACATTAATTCGAACGAGTATATAATTCTACTTAGCTCTCTCTCAATAAAATGTAACTTATAGCGCCTCGAAAGTCAAGGGAGAAAAGTGTCTCTTTTTTATTGCTCCCCCCCTGTACTTGACTGGCTGTTATTCCATACCTCTACAGTGGTTTACAGGTCCTAACGCCAAGTAAAACTTGTTTTGTATAATATTAATATACGCCTTACCGTCCTATCTAAAGTAGTGGGACGTTTCTCTTAATCTGTGATTATATTTTGGAAATGTTTACGTTTTTTCTTGAGGAGATCCTCTTCTCGCAATGACGTGGTACCGTGGTCCGATATCTTAACTTGCCAAGTGTCTGTTACCAAACAACATTCCGAGCGGAGACGACCATGTGAGGCGATGAATGAGCTGTGCAGGTATCGAAGACCCTATGAGCAAATTTTTGTGTTTGATCTCATGGTAGCCTTTATATAGAGATGTATTACCTCAGCGACATCTCTTATTATGCACACCATAAAGAAAGGATCAATCAGTAATGAACCTTTCAAGATTATTTCCTAAAGCATCAACAATGAACACTGGAAATCAAACGCAACGGTTTGCAAATAAAATAGATAGCTGGCAATTTCAAGAAAAAAAAACCTGTAGAGTGCCTCTGGTGCACATACGCCAAATTGCTACGTATTCTGCACCATCGACTGATAGCCCAATGAATCGATTTACATTGTCATGGTCCAGTTTTCTCATCTGAAGCGAATGAAGCTTGGTAATTCTAGTGAAGCAGGAGTAGTGTGCCCGACAATGAGCACCTTCCAGCGAGGCTTAGCTACATCACGATGGTACGCCAGCGCTGGGTAAGGGTGACTAGATTAAGCCAGGTCACGTTCCGACGTGGTCTGGCTAAGGTGAGAGCTCATGCTCTCTCGTGAGAGCTAGCAAGACCAGGCACACAAATTTCAGTGGGAGGTGGCCCTGCTAAGACATATGACGATGACGCTGCAATATATTAGCAGCTATACAAGACAAAAATTCTGATGTTAATCATATTTTTGAATATGACCAAATCTATCCAAATGGTAGCGTGGAACTGTTGCCCTGATCGCCTCATCCAATCATAGAACTTCTGACTTCATGACTTAACAAGTTAGTATAGGGGGACTCGAGGCGGGTACCGCGCTAAAGTTGTAAGTCCGACGCAGGCGCATGAAAAATACTAGCCCCAAGGCTGACATTACGACGATGCTTTGCTGTTTGTCTGGATAGAGCAAACCGAAATTTTTTTTGGATTTCGAGTCGGCGGAATAGGCTCAATATATCTTTTCAATATTGTTGCTCCAATACTCAATCTCGCATAAGTCAGAACACATGGGTACACGTCTCGACAATACGTGTTCGTTTGGGGTCTGATTAGATCGAGATTACAATTGGTTTCCCAGTGTCTTAGTAGAAAAGCCAAAACAGTCGAATTAGGCAAGTTCTCACGGATGACATGGTTCACTCATAGTCTTTGTAACTTTGAGTAGGGGGTCGATATATTATCGACTGTGTGTTGACATATTTATAGGTGATGGTCTATTATATTACGACTTTTTGAAAACGACGACGGCGGTGTTTTTTTCTTCTGCAGAGCTTGGTGACGGTTAGTGTCTATTTATGAATGACCCACTGTATACAATTTGCTACGTCTGCTTGTCTGTTCGGAAATTAGCATGCTACTCTTGAGAGCCGTTTAGAGAGTAAATTGTTCGCAGCATACTAAGTTTCCAAAATTTCTACAAACATTATAATTACCTCTATGTTGAAAGCTCCAAAAAGTCTGACGACAACATACAGTCAGCAAGTAATGAAACGTCTTCTCAGTCCATTCTTGAACAGCGTAGATTTGGAAGCATTTCCTCATAAGTGCAGTAGTCTTACTATCGTCAAGTGCGGGTTAGACGTGCCTCCATTGCAGACTTACACCTCTTCGGGCTCCGCTTTGGTTGCTGCACCTCGCCATGCGGTGATATTTGAAGTCAGACTCCTAGGATCCGATCATCTGCCGTACTAGCTAGAAGATGCGCGTTGTGGAAGTTTGAGGAAAGCAGTACTGCAGGTGTCGTCACCCGCGCAGCATTCTTACAAACCTAATCATTCAATTCGGAATGTACAGTCCTCATCAACTGCGTTAAAGGTGGGGGCGTTCCAGTCATATAAGTGTGCACATCTTGGGTTGGAGCCGTTCTCAGTCTTTTATGTTGAACTTGCGTATTGCGTGGACGACAAAAAGTGGTAGAAAACGAGTAATACGAAGGAAATAGTACAGTACAGCTCCAAACGCAGCCGCACTGACATGCCCCACCGGTCCGCAATGATGAGGTGCTGTACATTAGCGAACCAAACCAACAAATCAGGCAATCTCCAATACGCCGAGCTGCATACTGCGCGTCACTACAAGTCAGACCTTCTGTATGGCCAGGATTGCTTCAGGCTTACAGCGCATTGACTTCAGCATTTTTTTAGCCATGGTTCATCATTTGTCATGCTCTTCAATTATCCAACAGGTCGTGGAATAAGAGTACAAACCTGCGGGAACCTGGATCTGTCTTCCTCTGTGAGTCCAGTTGCTGGATATTTCGTTGTCAAGACAGCTTCATTCTCCAAGAAATAAATCTCGTAGCCGCCAAAATTAGACTCCGTGAGCTTCGAGTCTCCTGTCATTGTCGATTTGCCCGATTGAAGAGAACGCTTGCTCTGCTGTTGTAGATCACGCTGAACATTTCCATCTTTCGTAAGAACCTTCGAATTCTCCAGAATCATGATTATCGTGAGTCTACTGAGTTTCCTTGGATTTAGAAACGATTTTGCATTGAGTAATTTATTCTTATCCCACATAAATGCACCCAGCTAGTCCCACATTTCAATATAAACTCATCACTCATACCGATGACGGCGGCTTTCTCAGCTTCACGCAAGGGATCTGCCACATTGAGCGTTCCTGCTCTCGTCTCTCCTGCCGAAGTCTGGAATTAAAAGAACATCAGAATCAAGGCTGTTCTTATTTTTGATAACTGCTGCTTGGTGCCGCAGTGCGCACTCTGAAGGTCATTAATATGTTATGATAGTATGAATAGTCATTAATATGTCATATCAGAATATTTTTGGTTTCTGCCATTATGCAACCGTCTAAACACCATGGAAGCTCGGAAACTGGAAACTTCAGTTCGGTTTGACCAGTACATCGCCTTCAGCAAAAGT